TGGGTATAGGTGTTAGTCGGGTTAGGAGCTTTTCACTTCGCTGATTAGGAGGATGGCGGAGGCATTCTTCGTCTGGGTCTTCGGTGGGGTCGGGTCCGTCTCTAGCCGGGAGGTGGATGGCCAGCTGGCTCGCCCGTGCTGGTTTCTCCTTCGTTGGGCTCCTGGCTGGGAGATCCTTCTGCCTCTCTGCCTGACGTCGGCTGGTCGGCTGCGGGATGTCGCGCGTGTTACTGGTTGCTTCCCCTTGGTAAGTGGCTATCGGTTCCTCGCGATGCTGACGCTGGAGACCATGATCTGGAGTGTTCTTCCTCTCCTCCAGGTTAGTCTTCGACTACTCCGAATGCTTGGAGATAGCGGCGATGGTGAACTTTTGCGGCTCTCCTCTGTCCTTGCATGCGCTGCCTGCATGCAGTTGCGAGGTGCACTGCGTCGGAGTCGGGACTCTCTCTCCCCTTGTCCGGTCGATGGTGCGTGGCTGCGCGCGCGCGGGCGCGCGCTTGAGTGAGGTGGCGAGCTCCCTCGTGGCGATGGCGGGCATTGCTTGCCCGCTTCGAATTTCAAAAAAGGGCGGGCGTTTCACACTGGCGGCTGGGCGGGCAGGCGGCGGGAGGCGAGCGGCGGTGGCTGGATTCGGGTTGGCGTCAGCCCGTAGGCCGATGTCGGGCGCTAGCGCGAATTAGCGCAGCGTTGTTTCTCGCGCTAACCGGTAGGCGAGGGCGCAAAAAAAAAATCAGGATCGTTTATGTTACGATCCTGGTCATTCCCAAAGTACAAATTCACAATGAAAGACAATGCCACCCAATTGCGAAAGAAATGAAAGCACTTGCAAAGAGATAGAGACCAAAGAAGAGAGAAAGAAGAAGAAGAAGAAGAAGAAGAAGAAGAAGATGTACACCAGCAAGACCAATGACCAATCCCCCTTCTCTGTCCACCTTCCTCCTGCTTGACTTCGCCAATCTTATTCTTCTGCCAAATAATAATAATAACAATGAGTGGATGAACCTGAATCAATATCCGAAGTTCCCTCTTACTACTAGCACAACAATAGGTCCACCATACCCATGGCTTCCCCCTTCTTCCTCCTCTTACATGCCAAGGCTACGGCGGACTACTAGGGGCTCTGCCCTCTTGTGCAAAGGACAACACAAAGCAGCTATGTCGCTGCTCATCAGGCCGCCATGCCTGACTCTGCCTCGAGCTTCCTTGGTGCGGCACTACCCCAACTGGGGCCTTCCAGTTGCAGCGCCTATCAAGGTGATGAAGATGGTGTCCACCATAGCCAGGTAGGTACCTTGCCACTCTCCTCCTTCACCCCCTTCTTCCTCCTCCTCAGGCTGGGCTGCTCGCCATAGCCACCCTGAGCGCCCAGCTCCTTCGTCGACCTCCCGGGCAGCGCTCCAAGTCCAGCGCTCGGCTCCAGCAGTATGTTGCCAATCATTGCACACCGCAAATGAGGAGGAGCTACTTGCTCCTCCCGAAGATATAGCGGCCTACTTGCCTCTGGGTGGTGACTTCCTAGGCTGCACGGCCTCCCAGCAACCGGTACCTTCTCCGTTTCGGAGGGAAACATCATTGCAGGCCCTGATATGGTCCGTACAGGCCCTAGACTCAGGCTACTTGGACTAGTACCGGCCTCTACCTCTAGCCTACCGCTACTGGGCCTCTAAAAATGCCAACTTTTTGTCTTCTTCTGCTCGGCCTCGAGTACCCGACAGTTCTACCACTATTTGAGTGGTACCGGCCTACCTGCTACTCGAGTGTTTTTCCCGCTGCTCTAAGTGCCGCGGGCCTACCCCCACGGCCATGGGTAAGTACCGGCCCTGCGGGGCCTCCAAACCGACAAGTACCCTTGTGGGTCACACACAGTCAAGCCGACAAGCACTCAGACAGGCACGCAGACCAGCAGGCATGCACACACACAGACTTAGAAATCACAGCAGAATGCGGGAATCTCAGCAAGGCAAACATTCCAGCAGCAAATCCCAGAAATCAGCAGTGTTCTCAGTCTGTGTTTTGGCGGGTCATTACATTTACCTGAGTTTTCACTTTCTCTATAGCATTTTTTTTATTTTATTTTTATTTTCATTTTTTGGACCATTTATCGATTCATGTATGTCATCCTTGGTTAGGGGCCATGCTAACCTTTTCTGTATCGTTCCGATGTTAACGGATGTCCTATAGCATTTGCCATTTTGCATCTCCCTATTTACAATTCTTGTAGGCTCACTCTGAAGGTCCATTCTGAGATACAAATACTAAGTACATACCTTCTCTTTCGAATAGTTGTAGGATGAACTAGCAGACAGATACTTATAGGATTGGTGCAGTTTGAGACAAGCAAAATGAGTACATACCTTGTCTTTCCAGTTGTTACAGAAAGAACTAGCAGACAGAGACCCATGCGATTCGTTCAGTTTCTAAGAGTGAAAACTGCCTACAATTGAGCTATTTACCAATAGGCAGTCTAGCGGACTTCTTCTCAAGAGACTCACTATTGTAATCTATAGTACATACCCAGAATCATGTCAAAAGGCATGTCATCACTTTACCAAAAGCGATATCATGCGTTGTCGGGCGTAGTTTTTCTACACATGCTCTACTCCTGTAGCTTTGTCGGTTTGGGCTCCTATGTTAACACCATTTACTCTACCTCCAGAGTCCTAACTGAGCGCAGTACTTGTTGATATTGCCCATCTCATGCTCCGCTTACCATCCTGTCCCCCTCTAGATTTCCTTACTAAGCCCCAAGAACTTGCATGTTTCCTAATCAGCATCGACAGAGATGGTTTGCAGTGAGAAGGTCCTTGGTGGCCCTGATACGACAACTCCCGCCATCTTTTGGAGAAGCAAAAAAATGAAATATCCTCTTTTTTTTTTTTCCCAAAGAGGAAGCTCCTTCTATTCTGGGGAGCATCAGTCCTGCTCTTATTCCAACGGCAAGTCAAGAATTTACAATACAATTTTTAATTTTATTATTTATATTTAATTTATTTTACTGTTTTTACATGAATTACCCCACTCAGACGCTGCCCTATGTTATGGCCAGGGGACCCCTGACTGTAAGTGTGCCCACACTGCGTTGAGCCCAACTGAAGAAACATGTTTTTCACAGCTGACGATTTTTCCGTCCTGACTGTTGTCGCTGCTATCCTCCTCTGTGCCTTAACCCCCTCCTTGTAGGAAACCTCCTATGTGTTGTTATTGTAGATGCGAATGAGGTGGCCCTTGTTTCTTTGGGAGAAGAGCCTCTTCTTTCTAAACATACCGCCCTTCCTAGACGCACTCGTACCATTGCTTCCAATGCCAAGACCTTCTGTGACAACACTGACAAGGAGGAAAAGATATGGTAGACTGGATCGGCTCAACTGGCTAACACAACCTAACAGGTTTCTTGCTAAGATTTTCCCAAGCTTCAATTACTTCCATTGTCGCGTCTGAAAAACTTTGAAAAAGTCATGTCCACTTGGGCGCCTACCTGGACTGAGCAGCGTACAAAAATCAGTACTGAAAACCACCCAGTATGTGGGGTGAGAACACACCGTCTTTACCCGAATAGAACGCCCGGTCATTATAGCTGTATTTGGCACAACTTTCAGCCCAGATACGACGATAATTACTGGGCGTTCTATTCGGGTGAAGACGGTAGCTATGGCTGCACCTGGACTCTCCCCTTCAACTCCCAGAAAACAGCACTGTTCCTCGGCATTCCAAAACTTCAGAAACTGAAAATTAAGTAAGATCTGTGGCATCTGCCTCGCTATTTTTTTTGTGTCGGGTCTACTTGGGCCTTCGTCCCACATCGACATGGGCGGAGGGGAAGGGAAGGGGGCGGCAGGGATTTTGAAGTGCATCTTCATCTGAAAAGACTCACAGCTTCTGCTCAAAAAATAAAGAATAATCATTTTGGAAAAAGCCTTCTTCCCCCAAGCATAACGGCCCATGATCACCAATGTGATACACAGCTTGTGTGGTCCCCTCTTATCCTCTGCGGTGCACGTAGTCTGTACCGTCCCAGTCTTAACAACAGTTCTCTGGCAGATATCCATGGCTCCGTGCCCCTCCCCACTTCTGTTTTCAACGCCCTATTTTTGCTGTGCATGTGCAGTGTGCTATCGTGTGCACTCCAAGTATCGATTTGGGGAACTCAAGTGTGATCTTTATCTATCCTTCTGACATTTCTTTAGGACAATTGAGACAAGGTATGAATCATGGAGGGGTTTTAAATGGGGGGGTTAGTTATGGCAACTTGACTGGAGCAGCATCTGACATGGATGCTCCTGGTTCAGCAAATCACCACCAAAGAGATGTGTGATACCCTTCACATGTTGACTGACCTGTGTACCAGATGAGGATGGCCATTGGGTTCAGATTCTTCAGAAACTAGTTGTGTAACTAGGAAGCTCGGAAGCTGGACGCGAACAATTGGGCTTGCAGCTGCGAGGCATCGACAAGGTACCATGCACAATAGACATGTTTGCTGACTCCTTGGCTTATCTATCTCTTGGCGATGTCTTCTGTGTGTTTTGGTTTCCTCAGCTGCTACGTGAAGGGCCTGTCTACCCTGCTTAGCAATCTCTTCGCCTCTGCTATAGATTTTCACCCACCAAAGACGGGCACGGCGGAAGAAGAATATTATCACGGCCTGACGCAAAGTATATACCCTGTCTTGCTGCCAGCGGCATTTGTAGGGAAACCTTTTGAGAAGGTGAGTGAAAATGCTTTGGACTTCAACTTTTGTTATTGTTCTCTTTCCAAAAATAAACAAAAACGATTTGATTGTTTGCTGAAAACGACGTCCAGCGTCCCTTACAGGTCTCATTCATTCCATGCTTCGCTCCGTCATCGCAGAGAGAACCTGACTCCTGAGACAGAGGCATTGATTGCTTCCGCCAAGGGAAGGATTTACCTCTTCTCTGTCCCTGCACCTTTTTCATTACTACCCTCCTCACTACTCTCTATAACATTGTTTCTGCACGGCACGGCTCCTCTCCGCCACTGTGGTTGCCTGATCACTTTGTTGATTTCTGGAGCTGGTATTGAAGGTCGGAGTGTGACTACGGTCTTCACCCGAAATATAGCGCTCGGTCATTATAGCTGTATTTGGGGCATTTTTCAGTCCAGATGTAGCGATAATTACTGGGCATTCTATTCGCGTGAAGAGGTTAGTCTATCTTCTCGAGTTGGTGCGTACCCCCAGTATCATAGTAGTAACTCTTTTTCTTTTCTCTTTTTTCCTGTAAAGTCCAGGGTGTTGTAGAGGTCGGTTTCTGGACCCACGACAGGTACCTATCTACAGTCAGCAACTAATTTATGGGACCCAGACCATCCTATCTTGGAGGATCCCCCTCAGACAGCCCCTGCTGCAGGTTCCCCAACGATTTCCTAACACAGGCCTGTTTTTTTTTTCTCTCGGCTTTTGCTAAGGGTTGTGAAGACGGGGGTTATGAAGAACAGACTCTCTATCTAGCCTGACCCTTGCTTCATGACCTGTTTTGGACCCGCGAACTTGTAATGGTAACCTGTCTTTGTAATCCGTACATTGAACGACCAGTACACCTGTGCCTGGAGGCGCTGCACGGTGCACCAAGCTTTTCAGAGCAAGCCAGCGGCGCACTTTTCTTCTTTTTGGGATGGACCTGCTTGCCATTGTGGGCAGATAGGTCCGAGCCGCGAAATTTTCGGAGTAGGCAACGAACAAATTTCCCCAAGGCTGGGCCTTCGTACTGGCTGGACCTCCAGGAAACTTATTTTATTCAGGTCATCTGGTTGTATCTGGATTCCAACTAGGGTCTCTATTTCAACAGTTTGTGGGTGTGCCAACTGAGATTTTTCAAAGGACTTGAAAAGCGAACATGGCAGAAATGAGTATTGTACTATTTTCATCCCACAGTGGTTCCGGGGGGCTTTGGAGATAGGTACGGTTCAGTTCAGGTTATCTTCCTTGCCGTGTCAGTTAGAAGCAATAGGGTATATGATCATGTCTGCTCTTCTCCGGACGTCAGTCGAGGAATACATGAAGATCACGGGGGACTCTCTCAAAGGTTTCTTCGTTTCTCCTGATTTCTTTTTTCTTTTTCTTCTTCTTCTTCCACCCCCCCCCCCCCCCCCCCCCCTTTTTTTCCTGATCTCTTTGCTTTTGCAGATAGCAGAGCTTATCTACACGGAGTTCTCCGCGCTTCTTGTGGGTCTCGACGTGACAGCGTCGCGGGAGGCACCTGAAGAGGGCGATGCAGAACCGCTTCGCATGTTTCCCATGGGTGAGCTCATCGGTGCGAATGACGTCGGCCTAATCATCGCCGAGAGTCTGGCATTGGTAAAGCATGTGTCCACGTTCGGGTCCCAAACGTTTACGGACAGAATCAGCTCATGCTGCATAGGGAGCGTTTCAGCGGAGGAGTTGTATGTGCATCTTTGTGCAAAGATGGATTACGAGGATACCTGGCAGGGAGGCAACCTGAGTTCCCAGGGTGCCTTGGCGCTTGGCGAAGGATCAATGCGAGGGCGTGTTTTCAAATTGGATCCAAAGAAGTCAGACCCGAGCGGCTGGGAGATAAAAAATGACATGCAGCAGATGCGAGGAAGCAGCAGCAACTTGTCGGTGCGGGGGTACTGGAACGAGGAGGAGCCGGATTGGTACCTAGAAATAGACAGGAAAAACTACTCCTTGGAGGAAGTTACAGAGAAATTGTTGACGTGGCCACCGGTGCTGGTCGGCGGCCGACCGTCTCCAGAAGTCATTGCCGGTCATAGGGAGATCATCGAGGAGGACTTGACGCAAAAGACGCTGAGTTTGGTGAGGTTGAGCGAGCGGCATATTCTGGTCTGCTGCGAAGGGCAGTGGCCTCACAACCTCTACTACTTCGTTGAGCATTTACGGCTAGAGGGATTCCCAACTCCTCCAATCGTCATTCTCTCTCCCGAAGAACCTGGGCCTGAGCAATGGGGATGCCTGGGAATTTTCGAAGACGTATACTATGTCAAAGGATCGGGAACTTGCGAGCTCGATCTCATGCGTGCGGGGCATGGAGAATGTGGTAAGAGCTCTCTGATTTGCAAAATTTTGCCGTCTATCTATTGATTCTATTCATTAAATTTCATTCTCAATACACATCACAGTGGGAAGACAGGAAATCTCTGTCTGTCAGGCCCGTATTTTTTTTTGTCGTTGTAAAAAAAAAAAAAAAACACAGTACCTGTGCGAAGCGGAAAATCAACCAGCGGAAAAAAAAAACACAGCAAGGTCTCCCGGTTCGGGGTACGCTCGTCAGAAACCTGCGGTGAGGCAGGTTGATACCTGCCCCCTTGAGAGCTGGAATGCCAACCGTCCTAGCCTGAACGTGCACAGCTTTCAAAAAAAAAAAAAAGCACGCATAATTAGCATTCCCATGCTTTTTTTCTGTTATACCTCCTCCTCGCCATCACCCCTCACCCCTGCTTCTGTTGCTGTCCCAAGGAGGTTACTTTATCAGGGATAGCGAAGGGTACAACAAAGACTCGAAGAAAAGTTTGCACTTTAAAAAGAGTAACATGGGAACATGCATGATACTGTGTGCCTGACTTTATATATATGGTTCAGCCTCCTGATGAGTCGGTGAAACTCCGACGAAACAGTTTGTCACAGCCCCTCGTTTGTTGTCCTCTTCTCTCTCTCTGCC